GTTTACTTTAAGGAATAGCACAGTCCAATAAACGGTCCAGGTCATATACGTTTTACAGTCCAAAGAATATCCAATTACAAAGTCTTCTTACCGGTTGCCTTTGTCATTTACAGTAAACAAAGATATCAAAGTATAAGCACAGGATAAATACAACAGAGAACCTTAGATAGCAACAGAATGTCAGAGAGAGCAAGCTATGATCTCTAGCTCCCTCTTATGGTAATTTGCAATATAATCAACCAATCAGAATATAGTATAAATCAATACAGTGATTTTGTCTTAAAGCTACAAACATACATTGTTGGTTTATATATTGCCAACCCAACTAATTGGTGTACAGATTCCTAACACCCACCTCTGGTTTTCCAGTGTGAAATTGAGATGGTATCTCATCTGGTTCACTTTCCTCCTCTGAAAATGATAGATACGCCCATGATAAAACATTTCTGTGGAATGACCTCGGTGAACCACCTCTGGAGAAAACCACCTCCACTCTGCTACTAACAGTTTGGTTGTCCTCTTCCTCTAGATCAGGGGTCCCCAAACTTGGCAAAATTGTGGACTTCAACTCCCAGAATTCCTCAGCCAGCAAAGCTTTGCTGGCTGAGGAATTCTGGGAGTTGAAGTCCACAAGTCTTAAAGTTGCCAAGTTTGGAGACCTCTGCTCTAGATCCAGTCTGTTCCAGTGGCAAATTGGAGAGCTTGAGGCAAGTAGAGGATGCTGCCCCCTCTTCAGTAGGATCAGAGGGGACAATAAAGGTGGCACCAAGGGCCAACATTGCCCCATCAAAGAGAAGGTAGACCCTGCGCAGGAGCCTCATAGCACTGGCTCAGGTATCAGCTCTGGGTATGGTCTCCACTGAGAAGGGAGAAACTAGCTATTGGTTCCCTTGCCTTCCTCATCTAATTGGCACTCCTGCCGGCACACAGCATGGCTTCCATCTGCTAATGGGGGTCTATAGTCCTGAAACAGCAGGTCTCAGTCATGCTTGCTGTTCCCCCACTCTTTCAAAAGTGCCTGGACATCTGGACAATATTAAATATAGACAAATTTCCCAGGCTCTATTTTTTTATTTTATTTTTTGCATCTTTGAGGCTCTTTCTGATTGGTACCAAAGACTGCACAATCAAGTATGTTTTCTTTATATGTTATAAAATTCATAAGCACTCAAGCTGGATAGGAACTGCACATTCCTCTTCCTTTCTCTTCTGGTTATTATTTTCCCTTCCTTATTGCTATTTAGCTCAACCAACTTTAAAAAAACAAAAAAACCAGTTCATCCCAAAAAAAGATTAGCCTGGTTTTCAGTTTAATTTTGCTTTCATTTCCTGTATCTCAGACAACAAATTTGGTGGAAGCCTGGCTCCTCTTGAGAATAAGTTGACATGATTTTGAGCTTAGCTTTCAATTCCCCACCACCACACCCGCTCCCTGCTTCCAGTGTATTTGAGTAGCTGGAGTAATGGCTTTATACAAAGCCTGTAGTGATTGTGGTTGTGTGCCACACCTGCAGTACTTATTCATATGGTTATTTTACAATTCATTGTGTCCAACCACAAAAGTGAATTTAGCAAACTTTGATTATGCTAGGCATGACTGCACATATTCTGCAAACAAAGCGATTGCTTTTATCAAATCTTAGATAGCCTTCCTTAATCTAGTGACCTCTAGATGGGTTGGACTTCCCCTTCCATAATCCTCCGGTCCACCAGGGCTGATCTAAGAATTGCCTTTTAAGTGCTTGCAGTTTGCACAAACGTTGACCCATTTCTGACATGCAGCTACTGAGGCTTACAGGCGAAGGGAGGCTTTACAGGGCCGAAAGCTAGCTTCCAAGAAGACTTATCTCACAAGCTAGCTTTTTAGTCTCTGCTCTCCTCTTCGTGTTTCAATTCGCAGGGCAGGCCCCGGGCTCCCTTGATTTGGATCGGGAGTTCGGGACTCCACTGAGGCGGGAGCATCTGTGTGTGCAAAAAAAAAAGGCTGAAACCCTGATTTGGGAGGAATTTCTTTGAAGCTTGCTATTTACCCTTCCCAGCTGCTAATGGCATCTCACCCGGTTTGTCCCTTAAGATCACTTGCAGTGCTGCTTTTAGAAAAGAGAGGGGCTATGAATTCATAATTGGTTGGTGAATGAGAGTGCGCTCTCTGATATATCCCCATGGTTATTCTCCTGGCCGCCCATATATCTTGCTGTGGAAAGCAGTGAAATGCCTTGCTGGAAAATAGATGCTGGGTGCTTGTTTCATCTCCCTCCCTGCCCTGTTCGGTTTCCCTGAGCATATTGCTTTCTCTCTCTCCCTCTTTGTCTGGCATCATTTGCTGAGAATGAATCTCTTGCTCTTCCCCCTCCCTTCCCTCCCTCCCTCTTGTCCAATTGCCAGAGACATCTGGTAATAACTCAGACACACCCACCTTGTCCAGGGGGACAACAGGGACCTGGGTTTCCTTGCCACAACACATTGAGTGGTCACTCGATCTGAAGTTAGTTACAGCCACCGCTGTTGAGAGGGGGATTAGCGGGATTAGGCAGCAGGAAAGCAAAAGATAAAGGTCTTAAATGGTTTTGATCTTAAAGACATAAGGCTATTAGATGCTAGCATCAAATGGGAAGGTATTTCAGGAGCCCAGTGCATCAAATATTCGTTCCAGCAGCACAGAAGGAAGAAGCAGACGTCTTAGATCCTCATTCGAGGGGTGAGAACAAGGAGTTGGATGGCCCATGGCAGGTGCAGTAGAAAGTAGGGCCCTCAACCTGGAATTGTGGTGTTGAACTCTCCTACCTCTTGTCTGATATATTTTCATGTCTGAGATCAGGCATGTTATTCTCTGATCCCAAAACCTTTGCAGTCCAAAACAGAAATCCTTCCAGCTCCAGCCAAAGGGGGGAAGTTTTGGTCACCTTCCCCTCGACTCCCTCATATATCCATGTTATGTATTGAATGTATATAGTTGTGTTATCCTTCCTAAAGTGAAACTAACCTTTAGATCAGGGGTCTCCAACCTTGGCCACTTTAAGCCTGACGGACTTCAACTCCCAGAATTCCCCAGCCAGCTTTGCTGGCTGGGGATTTCTGGGAGTTGAAGTCCGCCAGGCTTAAAGTGGCCAAGGTTGGAGACCCCTGCTTTAGATGACCCTAACTGTTAACCAGAGGTGGTGTTCAGCGAGTTTTGACCAATTCTGGAGAACCAGTAGCGGAAAATTTGAGTAGTTCAGAGAACCGGCAAATACCCCCTCTGACTGGAGATTTTACAGTGTGCTTCCCCTGCCACGCCCACCAAGCCATGCCACGCCCACCAAGCCACACCCACAGAGCCAGTAGTAAAAAAAAAACCAATGGAATCCTACCACTGCTGTTAAGCTTCCTAAAGTGAAACTAACCTTTAGATCTCTCTTACTATTAGCTCCAACTGTTTTGGAGGGAAACTTTGAACATTTACATTTGGGTGGGGTTTTCAAGCGTTATGATTGGTTAAGCCCAGAGTATAAATTACAGGCATTTGCCTACAGTTACCTCAGTTCCAGTTTTGAGTCAATAAACGCTGTTGCAGCTAGGCTGGTCTGGTTCTTGCCTACTGAAGTCCGCTATACAGTCATCCACATGCACACACAGGCCCGCACTGGAATTCCTTTTTGCCCTGAAACAACGCCTGCTTCTTGTTAGTCCTTTCTTACCGCCTACCCAGAGAGAAGGAAGCGGAAGAAGACATGGCTCCCTATAGAGTTTGGATATTGGAGAGCCACTCACTGCAAGAGATGTAAGAGGTGTGGTTGTGTGGTTGTGTGGAGAGAGAGAGCATCTGCTGGATCACAGTTCAAGACACCCAAAAGCCCTATAATAACCAGTAGCCTTTTTTTCTCACCTCAACCATATTGCTTCAAGAAGCCTGTATACAACAGTCCAGGAATTATTCAGTTGCTGACAGCAAGACAGAACTTGGTGCTTACAACAGAAACTCAGAGCTCCCGTCAACCCCACTGGGCTCAACAGGACCATATCAATAGAAATAAATTTCAATGATCCCAGCAGCAAGAATACTGCGGCCAAAGCTCAGCTGCAAGCTTTGATTTCACAAAGGCCTGCTGGCCTTGTCCACTCCCCACCCCATCATCCCCACGCCACTGCAGCTGCGTAGGAATAAATTGCTGCCTTGAGGAGATTTAGGCTACCAGGAGGGTCAAGCATCAAATCCAGGAAGATTCCTGGTGGTTGGGAGGAGTCTCTTTGGCGGGGGCAGCTGGCCTGATTCTGATGGTGGAAATGGACCAGTTGCATTGAGGAGGGAGCAGGAATGAGCGAGCAAGCCAGAGCGAATGAGAGGCAACGGGCTGGCAGATGGAGCAATGGAAGCGGAGAGGTTGGTGGGGAGGAATCGGAATTCATGAGCCACTATTGACAGATAAAGTTGGAAAGACACATGTGAATTTTGCCACCAGATTGTACATATGTATCGATAATGCACATATTAAAGGAGCTGTTCTGACCTTCCCCAACAGCACGAAGACGACTCCTCGTCCCAATAAACCCCTTTTATTGAGTTTACAGTGAATTCTTCTCCAGCAAAGTCCCGGCCAACAGTCTTTAAAGATAATCAGGCCTGGAGAGCTGCCAGGCCGATATCCTTCAGACGCCACACTGTAGCAAATGATACTTGGCAAGAAAGCAGGAACAGATCTTCACCCAAATGAACTAATTGTTTCCTGAAAACCCCCACTCCCCTTTCGCTCCTCTTTTATTCCCTATGGGAGGAGCCATTCACCGTTCACCTGTGGCTTTACTCCCAAGTCGACCCTTGTTCCTTAGCTGTTTCCTTCTTCTGGCAACTCTGTGCATGCACACACTGGGAACAGACTCCAGTTGTTCTTCTGCCTCACTGATGTCCAACTCCGAAGGCAGCTGATAACTGTCAGACGGCCCTGGCCCCATCTCTGCCTCCGATGCAGAGCACTGGTCAAAGCCTTCCCCAGACTCCAGGACTGGTCCTGTTCCTCCACAACCTCCTCACTATCTGAATCTGCTGTCAGCTCCACTGGCTGCTGGCTGGCCACAATAGGAGTAAACATGAGGCCCCAGGAAGTAAAGCCACCCTTTGTATTTTTGAACACCAAAATGGCATCTGTTCTCTGGCTAACAGGCACGGAGACATCCTCTCCTGATGGTGGAAATACAGGTAGTCCTTGACTTACAACCACAAGTGAACCCAAAATTGCTGTTGTTAAGCGAGGCAGTTTGCCCCATTGTATGGTCTTTCTCACCACAGTTGTTAAGTGAATCTGGCTTGCCCATTGACTTTGGTTGTCAGAGGATTGCAAAGGGGGGGTCACATAACCCTGGGAGACCACAACCCTAAATGAGTCAGTTGCCAATGTCTGAATTTTGATCATGTAACCATGGGGATCAGAGGTGGCATTCAGCAGGTTCTGACCAGTTCTGGAGAACCAGTAGCGGAAATTTTGAGTAGCTTGGAGAACCGGCAAATACCACCCCTGACCTGCCCCCGCCCCCATCTATTCTCTGCCTCCCAGGTCTCAGCTGATCGGCTGGGTCTTCTTTTGTTGCCCTGCACAGGAAAATGGAGCTGGAAAGCAGGTTAGTGGGGTGGGGAGGGAATAGGGATTTTGCAGTAACCTTCCCCTGCCACGCCCACCAAGCCACGCCCACCAAGCCACGGCCACAGAACTGGTAGTAAAACATTTTGAATTCCACCACGGATGGGGATGCTACAACAGTCCTGTCAAAAACTGTCATAAGTCACTTTTTTCTGTGCCGTTGTACCTTTGAACGGTAACTAAATGAACTTTTGTCAAGGACTACCAGTATAGCGTGCATTTGAGCCCAATATTGCCGCTTAGCAATAGGCCCACTGAACTCCATAGAGGAAAGGAAGTGGTGACTAGTGAGTTTTAAACTGGTTTGAGGAAAATATTATCAGGAAAAAGCCCACAGATGGACATGAGTTCAAGCAACCTTCTTTCAGCTAGTGACATTCCTATTACAAGAGAACTGTGAGGTCAGCCAAAGCTCTAGATTTCCTCAAAACCCCAAAAGGCTTCTGTTCTGTCTTTTAATCGCTGACTAAAGACAGACAGACAAACTCTACGAAGACTTCCATACAAAGTTTCTTTATTGGATCATCAGGCATTCCCAAGCTGTAACTCACGGTTATGTCGAGATTCATCTAATGTCCAACTCTTTGCACAGCTGACTTCATAGTGTAAAATTATAGTGATCTTTCATCCCATAATGATGGAGCAGAGAGGGTGAAACACCAGCACGATGCTGGGGTTCGAGCAAGAGTAAAGGGAACTCTCCCAACCAAGCAAGGGTCAATTCAGTGACCAATCAGGATTACAGATGTGACCACATGGGATGAACTACATTTCCCATGATGCATTAACTACATTTAACATGAGGCATTCCCTTAAGGGGACAGCTCCCAACTCTAACTTAACTATCTCAATTCCCAATTAACTATATACTGTCTGGACAGCACAACTTCTGCCCTAACAGGAATAGCCATGATGCAGGGCTATTGTATAGGTCTTACAATGAAAACTGCCAATTATGGCAAAAAGGTATCATACAGTCAAGATTGGAGATACTGAATGTTAAGATATGCGCATAGCACAAGATCCAGTAACTTCAGAAAAGCCTCTGCCCAGACTGAATCAAGTCGTTTCTCAACAGAAATTCTAGGATGTGGAGCAAGATTTGTTCCCAACTCTGTCCTGGTTTACCGGAAAATGGCAGCAAAACTGGGTTTTTGTGTTTTTTTGCCTTGGTTTCCTTTTGCACATTTCAAAAAATAAAAGTCTTTAATCCAGTTCTGCAGCATTGTGGGGGGGAGAGGGCAGCAGTTCCTGCTGGAAGAAATTCTTGCTTCATTTCAAATTCCTGGGTTCAAATGAGCAAGCTGTTACACAGTAAGCCCAAGCAAAGCTTCTCACTCCATAGAGATTCAGCCTGAAATTGGCTTCCTGAATCATGTCGCTGTGATGGGCAGTCACAGGGACAGTATTGCATGTTTGTTACTTGCAAATGAGCAAAAACAGCAAAGCCTAGATTGACAAAGGTGAGTTTATCTTGGCCCAACCATTTCCTTGTAAAATGCTTTAGATCAGGGTCGCCAATCGGTGGGCCGCAGCCCACTGGTGGGCCTCGAGAAAATTTTGGTGGCCCACAAAGAAATCTCACCCCCAGAGCACTCCCCCAAAGCAATTAATCCAGGCTGCGCAAAAAACACAAGGCTGCGCCACCCATATGGCCCGTGGGGACCTCCCCCCACCCACTCCTTCCCCAGCAAACTTCCCTGCTAATTTACTATTTTTCCAACCATCAGCTGTTCTGCTGTGCTGGGAGATTTAGATTAGCTAGGAAGTAGGAAATGGTTTCTTGCTTTCTAGCTGGTCTTTAGATCTTTGGCTCTGCTTTGAAGCACAGCCGAACCTCCCTTAGGACTGAAGGTTCTATTATTCCGTGTTAGACTCACAGCAAGCAAATTTTATGTGACAGACTGAGCTAGCCAATGGCAGATAGATAGATCTCTGAATGAATCTGTGATTCTGTGAGCAACTCAATCTGACTGACTGCTTTGCCCGATTTTGGGTAAAAGTTGCTCTTTTTTTATAAAAAAATCAATATTTATATAAATATTTATAATATTTACATACAAGTCATACCCAGCCAGTCACATGACCACCAAGCCACACCCAGAAATTAGGCCATGCCCACAGAACCGGTTAGTGATTCCTGGGATCTAAAATTATGAGTTTGGTGGTCCCTGAGGTCCAAAAGGTTGGCGACCCCTGCTTTAGATGGCCTGGAACAGACCCTCTCTATAAGGGTAAAGAAGAACCCATTGGTGGGGTCTGCTTTGGAAGACTGGTGGATTTCTGAATGCTTGGATGGATTTACCAGCTGGTGTGCTTTCTGTCCTGTTCAGGCCTTTGACATAAATTGGATGAGAAGATGGAAAGGGTGTTTGTCCCTCAACGGACTCCTCAGTGCCTTGGAATCAGAATGGTCCTTGGTTCTTCTGGTGATGAAATGGGCAGTGGTTTCCAATAGTCTTCAACTTATGACCACAATGGAGCCCAAAATTGATGTTGCAAAGTGAGAAATGTATGCGGCTAAGTGAGTTTTGCCTCTTTTTGCCATTTTCCTTGGCACTTTTGTTAAGTGAATCCAGGGGTTCGCTGCTGGGGGTTCTCAGGGGTTTGGGAGAGACCCTAGCTAAGATTCTGTGCAATTCAGAGAACCCCCAAATCCCACAACTGGCTGGCCCTGCCCTGACCACCCAGCCCTGCCCCTCCCAGGAGTCCCCATGCCCGTTTTGGATGCAGGTAAGTGCAGGGTGCACACAGAGGCTGTGGGAGGGGGGAAAACGAGCCTCCCGGAAGGCCAGAAATGGGCCCATTTCCAGCTTCCAGAGCCTTCGGAGCCCAGGGAGGCCATTTTTGCCCTCCCGGAGGCTCGATGAAAGCCTCTGGAGCCCAGGGAGGGCAAAAACGCCCCCTCACCATGGTGCAGGAGGCCAAGTAGGCCACGCCCACCATGGCCACACCCACCCAGCAACTGGGCAGAGAACCGGTTGCTAAAATTTTTGAAGCCCACCCCTGAGTGAATCACTGCAGCTGTTAAATTAGTAACACGGATGTTAAATGGACCTGGCTTCCCCATTGACTTTGCTTGCCAGAAGGTCGCAAAAGATCATCACAGGGACACTGCAACAGTCATAAATGTGAACCAGTTGTCAAGCATCCGAATATAAATCACATGACCATGGGCATGCTGCAACAGTCATGTGTGAAAAATGGTCGTGTTGGAAGAATTATCCTTCTGGGTTCAGTACCAAGTGGGGGAAAAGACACTGGAAACATGGAGGCTGTTTGGAAAGATGGTTTAATGGTGGACAGGACCACATGGCTTGGAGCTCCAAAGTGAAAGGGACGATCACATGCTTCAAGGTGAAGGAAAAGAGAAGGAAGGGCTGTGATGCTGAGAGTGCCCTCTGTTGGGATTTGAATTTGAGCTTGTATTCTGATTGGTTGTCAGACTCCCATGGGGCCATGCAGGGGCAACTCTGTAAGCTGTCCTGAGTTCCAGGCTTGGTTGAGCCTTGCTGGATGATGATGCACTGAAAAGGGCTTTGGGCAATTGCTATAGCTTTACCTGGAGATCTTTGCTATGTAAATTATTCTGGCCCAGGCCTTAATGGCCCACCCATTAACAAAGGTGGGGGTGAGCTTCTGCTTCTGAGGTGAGTTTCTGCTCTTGAGTTTCTAATCTTTTGAGGGGAAATATTCTGCCTTTTTAATATTTCCTAAGATATTTCAATTTTCTAGGAGAGGGGTGGGTGCTAACTTCCTACAATCGTAAGTCACTTTTTTAGTGCCGTTGTAAGTTCAAACAATCACTAAGTGAACTGTGGTAAGTCGAAGACTACCTGTATTCTTGTGAGCAGTTATAATAATATTACATATTTAACCTCTATGAAGTTACGTAGTACTCTTCTTTCTATATTCCATCCTATCTAATCATCAAAGTCATAAATTAGAACTTCATTTTTTTTCAATTTTACGCAAAAAGTCCCTAAGAGATTTCCTCTCCCCAATAATTGCAGATAGCATTTTTTCTCTAATTAAAAAAAAAGTTAGTTTACCCATTTCAGCGAGATCTGTCCATTTCACCAACCATTCCTCCAATGTTGGGTAGTGTTGAAACCTTCTATCTCTGTGCATTATAATCACCTCACCGCAGTAATCATATATTGAAATAATTTTCCGTGGCTGTTTTTCTAATTGCTTATCAATTAGTCCTAAAAAGAAAAGTTCTGGCTTCAACTGAATATTAATCTTTAAAATCCTCTGAATCCAAGTATGCATTTGAATCCAGTTTTTTTTTTTTTAATAGCCTTTTTACATGTCTAAAGCTGAATATCACTGAGGGGGGATAATGAAGATTTATTTTCACCTCTTTTACTGCAGCTTTCTGGTATCATCCAGTAAAAATGGTTTGGGCCAATAAAAAGGCTTCTGGTCAGTCGTCTAATATCTGGAGGATATCATCAGACAAACGGTTCAAAATGTACTGATTTGTACATAAATTGTGTCGTTTATGTGATCATGCCCTGATGTCCTGGTACTGCTGGTCCCTTTGCCAGAGACATCTGGAAAACTTGGTTGCCTTTATCTGAACAACAAAAGCAGCACACTGGCATCAGACGGCAAGCTCTTCTGCTTTCGGCCATATGTGCAACACTGCATGCCCCATAGATTAGGGTTGGCACTCGTGTCATGATTATGTTTTCATCAGCCTGACCCCTTTTGCGCCACTCCCCTCCCAAGGGAAACTCATGAGTGCAGCGTGAGGTTGGCGTAACTCCTGAACAGAAAAGCCCCTGGGATAGCTGGACAGTCAGTTAAAACCAGCGAATATTAACTTATCTCTATTTATTTTAATAAGTGAAGGAGAAAAGGATACTATATACAGGGGAACAGAAAGAGGCATATATTTATATTTATAAACGTGCGTTTGTACATATACAAATACATAGATATTCACACAGAGGCATTTCATTTTCAAAAACAGGAATAAAATAAAGGCTCTTGCTTATTCAAAGCAGTATTCTTTGGGGTTCTAGAACTCGCTTTAGATTTGATCTCAAGATCTTTTTCTTGTCCTAGCCTTTTCTTTATTTCAAAAACTGCTTAAGGGCTCCAAGCCTCACTTCTCCAAAAGAGATTTTTATTTCCAAAATTGCATGGCTCTGGGAAGCCCAGACACAAATCCAAGCAAAAAACACAACAACAACAAAAAACGTTTAGGTCCTCATTCAGTGTTGCATATCAGGAGAGAGAGAAAAAAAACCTGTAATTGAAAGTCTTGTACTTTGCTATCCTCCAGTGAGTTTTGTGACATAAGGAAGCATACGGATACCATCCAATGTAAGACAAAAATGGGAATTTAAAAGTTTAAAGTGCTCCCAAATACTGATGACCTCTGGACCAAATCACAGAACTCAGTGATAGATCTAACAGTGTATGAAGAACTTTTTTTTTCAGAGAGATGTTTTTAATTGCAGTACAATTTGCTATGAATAACAGTTTTGGCAAACTGGTAGTCCCATCTGTTCTGTACGGTCATTACCATTCTTGTAGAACCGCGCAGTGATTGGCCAAGACGCACGGCGAGCTGATTGGTCGAGCGAGCCGCACTGATTGGCCCGCCGCGAATCTCCCGCGATTGGTGGAAACTAATCACGGGAGATTCAAAGCGGTGCCATTGGCCGCGGCCGCCGCGGCCAAAGAATAAAAGCCGCCGCTTTTCTTTCAGACCCGAGCCGATCTTGGGAATCAATAAATGAGCTGAACTAAAGTCACTGGCTCCGAGTCTCCTTTCTTGCGACGGACACAACACTGGCAACGAGGATGGGATCCCAAGACTGATCCCCATCGAGCACGTGTCCTGAGGAAATGAGACCGACGAGATGGCCAGCATCGTACCGCCCGCACCCTTTAACCCGGCTACTGAGGATTGGGAATCGTACACCGACCGATTCCTGATGTTCCTCGAAAGTAGCAATCTAAAGGATGCAAACGGGCAAAAGAAAAGAGCTGTCTTCCTCACACACTGTGGGCCCGCAGTATTTAAGATGGCAAAAGCCCTCGCAAAACCCGAGGACGTAAAAACGATGGACTGGGCCGATCTCGAGCCGTTGTTCCGAAACCACTATGCCCCCGACGTGGCCACCCTCATCAGGCGGCACGACTTCTATCGGCAAGACCAGCGAGCGGGCGAGAGCATCGGCGACTTCGTGGCTGACCTGCGAAATCTCGGGGGCATGTGTGGGTTTACGGATATGGACGAGGCACTCCGAGACCGCATCGTCCTGGGGCTCAGAGATCCAGTCCTCCAGAGCCGGCTGATGGCAAAAGGCGACATCGCCCTCGCCGACGTCCTTGCAGACGCCACCGCAGCTGAGGTGACCCGGAAATCGGCGGCTCGAATGCGGAGGCCCGACGCTGGGGACCGCAACGCGACCACCGAGGCAGGCACGGTAACCGAGACGCGCTCTGAAGCAAGCCGCCGAGAGACCACCACACACCATGGCGACCTCGACTCCACCTCCGACACCACGGACGAGGAAGAGGATGTGCATCGGCTCCAGGCGGATCGAGACCGGCGCGATCGACGGAGTCGTAAGTCGGGGCAACCGTGCACTGGGTGTGGAGGCGACCACCCTCGATCAGAGTGCCGATTTTTCGATGCAATATGCCGGCACTGCAATAAAAGAGGCCACATCGCCCGAGTCTGCTGACTCAAGAAGAACTACAGCCCCCGGCGGCGAGACGGCAGCGACCGGAGACGAGACGGCACCCCCCCCAGGCCCTGAGACCGCCAAGCCGAAAACCGATGGAGCCGAGACGGACGGGGCCGACGAGATGGCGGGAACCGGCGGAGAGAGGAAACCCACCAGACGGTCGTCATCGGCCACTCCTCCAGCTCAGACGCCCGGAAAATATATGTGGAAGTGGGCATCGCGGGCGAGCCATGTAAGATGGAGGTGGACTCCAGGTCCTACCTCTCCATGGTTGCATGGTGGGAAATCAAGCGCCTGGTGCCCACAATCCACAGGAGAGGACTGGAAAGCCAGAGCCTAATCCTCAAGGACTACCAGGGGAATCGCATACCGGTAGTCGGAACAGGCCAGTTCGAGGTAACTTTCAAAGGGCGCACAGCAAGGCTTCCCCTGACAATCGTGGACCAAGACCGCCCCAGCCTTTTGGGACTGCAGTGGTTCGCGCTGCTCGGAATCGAAGTAATGGGCATCGACCACATCGGGGAGGCCGACTGGGAGGACCAACTCGCAAGGGACTTCCAGGAAGTGTTCGACAGCACCCTAGGCAAGTACCGAGGGCCCCCTATTTCGTTCACCCTAGACCCCAGCATTCCCCCTATACGCCTGAAACCACGGCGGGTACCATTTGCACTCCGGCAAAAAATCGATGAGCAAATAGACAAGCTCATCAGACAAGGGGTCCTCGAGCCAATCGACCATGCCCGATGGGAGACCCCCATAGTCACCCCAGGCAAGCCCGATGGGTCGGTGAGAATCTGCGGGGACTATAAGGCCACCCTCAATTGCGCATTGCAACAGAGCGCCTACCCCGTCCCAGTAGTGCAACACCTCCTACACTCACTGGGGGGAGGCAAGGTCTTTGCGAAGCTCGACCTGGCGCAAGCCTATCAGCAGCTGCCGGTCGACGCAGAAACCATCAAGGCGCAAACCATAGTAACCCACCGGGGGGCTTTCCGCTGTAAGAGACTCCAGTTTGGAGTCAGCGTGGCCCCAGGAATATTCCAGACCCTCATGGAGAGACTCCTGCAAGGAATCAAGGGGGTGGTACTCTACTTCGACGACGTACTGGTGTTGGCAGCCAACCAAAAAGAACTGGAGGGTCGCCTGAGGGAGGTCCTAACAAAATTCAAAAATGCGGGGCTGAAGGTTAAAAAAGAAAAATGCCAATTACACACCGAGAGGGTCGAGTTCCTGGGGTACCTTTTAGATCGGCATGGAATTCACCCAACCGAGAAAGAAATCAGAGCAATCAAGGAAGCCCCCAGGCCGAAGAATAAAATGGAACTACAGGCATTTTTAGGACTGCTTAATTTTTACAATGTCTTCCTGCCCCAGAAGGCGACCGCGGCGGAGCCTCTGCATAGGCTCCTGGACAAGGCGGCCCCGTGGACTTGGGGGAAATGCGAGGAAGCCGCCTTCAACAAAACCAAGGACCTGCTCACCTCGGATGCCGTCCTCATCCAATACAACGAGACCCTACCGCTAGCTGTCACATGCGACGCATCACCCTTTGGCGTCAGCGCTGTCCTCAGCCACACTCTCCCCGATGGAAAAGAAGCACCCATCGCCTTTTTCTCAAGGACCCCCACCAAACCGGAAAGAAACTACAGTCAGCTGGACAAAGAGGCCCTGGCTATCGTTGCCTCCGTCAAAAGGTTCCACGAGTACATCTACGGCCGGACCTTCACCATCGTCACCGACCACAAGCCGCTGCTGGGAATCCTGGCAGGGAACAGGGCCACCCCAAACATTCTATCCCCAAGAATGACAAGGTGGTCCGAATTCCTTGCCGCCTACAGCTACCGGCTCACACACCGACCCGGTAAGACAATCACCCACGCAGACGCCCTGAGCCGCACGCCGCTACCGGACTTGGACACCGACCCAGCACCCACGACGGTCACCCTTAGCATAGAGACTCTGCCCGATCTACCCATAACCGCGTCAGACATTGCCCGTGAAACCAATAAAGACAAACGTCTGGCACGGGTATTACATTGGGTAGAGAAGGGGTGGCCCGAAAAGGACGACGATGAAACCTTCAGGACATTCCGGAACCGGCAAACAGAACTGTCATTACAAAAAGGTTGTTTACTTTGGGGGGACCGGGTTGTTATTCCGGAAAAATTACAGGGAAAGGTATTGGAATTGTTGCATGAGGGGCACCCAGGCATTGTTAGGACAAAGGCCTTGGCCAGAAGTTACGCCTGGTGGCCAGGAATGGACAAACGAATCGAGGCCTGGGTGGCAGCATGCAACAGATGCCAGGAAACCAGGCCCAGCCCTCCTGCCGCCCCAATCCTGGAATGGGAAACCCCTAGGGGACCATGGTCCAGGATTCACATAGATTTTGCCGGGCCCACGAAAGGCCACACTTTC